ACCCAGGGTGCACGTGTCCCAGCAGTCAAAGGCTGGCCGAAAGGCCAGTACTTACAATTCCTTCATCTCTCTCTCTCTTTTTCTTCTTTTCATGTGTGATTAGTTTGTCATCTAAATCTCTTTTAATTTGTCCGATTTATTTTCCTTGCAATTTATTGATGAAATCAAGTCATTTTACTGATTGCATGCCCCATGACATTCTTTTTTCTTTCTCTTTTTTCTAACAATATTTCTTCTTCTTCTTCCTGTACATAGGGGAGGGGGGATACAGGAGGGGAAGCCACACCCGCCTCCTCACCGCTGCATTCCCCGGGGGAAGGGGAACCGCCCCTGTGACAGCCCAGGGTCCCTGCTGTGGAGCATGTTCCGAGGGTTCTGCTCCTGTGGTTTCAACAGCTCTGACATGCTGCTGATATCGCTGCTCCAAAGATGAGAGATCTTCCCAAGGCCCACTGGCTGACGTAGTCCATAGTCTCCACTGATCCACATACTTGCTGTTAAAGCTTCACTGGGACAGTTCATCAATTTGCTCTGCTCTCCTTCCACTGCAAACCAATGGGTGCTGTGGCCCAGCCCAGCACTGCCCACCACACGTTCAGCCCTCACATACACCGGGGGAGCTGCAGCCCAGTTAGAGCGACCCCAATTAACTGCCACTGGACTGGCCCCCAGCTCTGGTTCCTGTGCCTGCCAGCGTGTGCAGTGAACTGGTCCGATCTGCCCCAAATCCTGTTGAGCATACATCATTGGGCACTGGAGCCTAACTCAACCCAACCGACTCTACCCTCCAGCCCACTCATGCCAGCACGTGCCAATGCCTGTCCAGCTGGGTCTGCCCCTAGGCCTGGTTCTTACGCTCACCAATGGGAGCTGCAGCCCATTAGAGAGGAGCCAACAACCTCCCTACCGGATCCACTCCCTGACCCAGATCTTGCACTCCCCAGATTGTTCTGCAGTCTAGCTTGATAGGTCTTGCCCCCCAGTCCCAGCACTTGCCAGCTGATGCTGTGGCAAAGCCCAACCCTCATGCCCTTATTTCTGGCTCATGCCTTTACCAGTGGATGCAATGGGTTAGCCCAGCCTGGCTCTCTCCCTAACCCAGTTCACATGTAGGCCAACAAGTGTTGTAGTCCTGCCCAATCTGGTCTGCACCCAGTCCCAGCTCTCACACTCACCAGCAGGAATAGTGGCCCAGCATTGGAGTCCCCTCTACTCCCCCACCAGGTTCACTGCCCACCCCACACCCTGGTCTCACATGTGCTGGTGGGTGCTGTGGCCAATTGTGGGGTAGCCTGACTCACCGTGCTATTTGCCTGGGGGTGCTATAGCCTGGCCAGACCAGTCTGCCACCCAACCCAGTGCAGTTGGCCCCCAGTCCCAGCTCTAATGTGAACTGGCTGGTGATGCGGAGAGACCCAGCCTGTCCTGCAACCCAGGCTGGTTCTCAGCTCTGCCAGTAGGTGTTATGAACTGGCCCAGCCTGGCCGGTCCCCACACCTGAGCCACACGTGTGCTCTCAGGTACTGTAAGCTGTTCTGCTCTGGGCTGCTCCTTGCTTTGGTTCTTGCACTCACTTGCAGAGACCATGCCCTGACAAAGGAATTCCCCAGGCTCCTCTGTTGGTCTCCTCTCAGTGGCAGATCTTGGTGGGTCCTTGGCCCGAGCTGACTTAACTTCCTGTCCTGGCAGGAATATTAGCCTTGACCAACTGGCCCATACCCAACCTGGTTCTGTTGGGTGTTACAGCCAAACCACACCTAGTCCACATCCTGACACAGCTCTCATAAGGACCAGTGGGAGCAGAAACCCATCCTATACCCACTCTGGCTCTCACCAACACCAGTGGATGCTGGAGTCTATTCCAGTCTGGCGTGCCCCAGAGCCTGTTCATGACCATGCCAGAGGACACTGCAGCCATGTCCAGCCCAGACCACCACCCACATTCCAAGTCTTGCACTCACAAATAGGGACCACAACCAGCTGAGGCATCCCCTTAGCTCCCTGACAGCTCTGACCCACCTCTACAGAGTCTAGCCCGTCTTGACCTCTGCCATCAGATGCTGCAGCCTGGCCTGAACTGGCCCGTTCCAGGTTCCAACTCCTGCTGGCAAGTGCTACAGCTTGGCCTTTCCCAGTTCTCTCCCATCCCTGACTTGAGCAAACCAGCGGGACCAATAGCCTAACCATACAAGCCCTGCATGCCAGCCTGGCTCCTGCACTTGCCCGGTCCACCCCCTTCCAAAACCACCCCACACTTGCAGACAGGTGGAGCTACCCTGCGGGTCTGACCAGAACTCGGGCCTGAATCACACCCTCAGCAGCAGGAACAATGACCCGTCAGCAGAGTCTCCCTAGTTCCCCCATCACACTCACTCCCAGAGCCAGATCTCACCCATGCCAGTGGGTGCTACACCCTTACAGTCATGGACTACCACCTCTGTCATGCCTTTGTATGAGCAATGGATATTGTGGCCTGGCCTGGCCCACACCGTATTCTTGGGTGTGTCTGTGGTGCTGCAGCCTGGACCAACCTGGCCTGTAGCCAATCCCAGCACCCTTGAGTGTCGGGAGGTATTTCATGGTCATGACTAGCTCAGCCTGTCACCGCCGCCAGCTCCAAGCAAACCACCTGAAATTGCAGATCGCAGGGGTGGGCCCACACATTCCCCACAGAATCTGCCCCAAGGCCCAGTTCTGTTGCATGCTAGTTCGTGCCATGGCATTACCTGTCCCTGTTTGGACTCTCGTTGGTGAGTGCTGTGACCTAGCCCTGTCAGGCAGGCCCCCAGCCCTTGCTTTAGTGAGCACCAGTGAGTGATATTCGGTATCTGTCAGTACTAACCCCTGCTCTGCTACCCCACAAGGGCTGCTATTTCCGTCGGAACCCACCACCGGGTGGCCAGGCGCCTGGGCCCTGCGCTTGGGAGGCCACTCCCGGGGCTAGCCGGGCCCCTCTGGCTCCAAGCCCCCAGCAGACCGACGGGCTCAAGCCTTCAGCAGAATCCCTTCATCTCTTAATCTTTCCTGACATCATTTTCCACACATCAGATTTCATACAATGCTGCTCCCAGAGCAGCTGGCAGCATCTTCAGTTCCCGCTGCTCTCCCAGGCAGCAGGCTGCTGGTGGGACGGGACTGTGAGGGAGGGACTGTGGGGACACTGACGCCTCTGGCTGTCATCATGCCTTCCCACTTCTCACTGGCCCCGCCCCAGCAGGCCCCGCGCGGCTGGTGAGCAGACTTCAACCAGAACCCTGCCGGAGTTCTCCACACCCACGCAGACGCTGTGCCCGGGCAGCCACACTCCACAGAGGCCCTTTCTGTTAACGGCAGGGCCGTGCTCCTGAGGGGACACATTCTCAGAGCCTGGAGATGGGGCCGCCCTTTCCCACCGCCCGCTCCCTCCCTTTCTGCACTCCCTTCTGCGGGATCACTGCTGGATCCCATGGTCACTGTTCCTCTGCCCGACCGAGCCGCCGAAGGCCCGGCCCGGCTAGTGCGGCCCTCCTGGCCTCTGTGACCCTCCGGAAGCTACACCTCACAGAAAAGCCCAGAAGCATCCTACATCGATCACACTATTCCACTGCTGCCAATCTGGCCCATCAAGGTTTTCCTAACTGCAGGCAGACGGAACCTTCTGCCAGTCTAGTGCTGCCTGCTTTGCCCTGGTTCCAGGACGCCTGGGCCTTCTCAAGGCCCCAGAAGTGGCCACATCCCTCCCTGTCTTTGAGCCCCTGCACCTGCTGCTTGAAGAACACTGTTTCTGCCCCCTCTGACCCCATCCTCTCCGCCCCACTCCTCTCATAACGCCCCCAGCCCTCACCCCTCCTTCCCAACGCCCATGGCCTATGCTCTGCCATGCAAAACACTTTGTACAGCTCGAGACTATGCACGCGTCCCCCATCCCTGCGCAGACGCTAGAAGCCCCAGGAAAGCGGCCCTCACGCCTGCTCCTTAGCCTCTGCTGTGGCCAGCAGCACGCTCACTGCTGGACACACGGGAGAACAGACAACCATCACACAAGCTTACATCACGGGCCGGGCGGCAAATTATTCCAAACACCTAGAGACGGGAAGAGATAATCTCTACGCAAAGACAGAGAAGCACACTGCAGGAGTCCACCCATGCGTCTGACGGCTGAGCCCCAGGACGAGCTCACGCAGCTGCCAAGTGCTGCGACCACCGTCCACGCCAACCTGGGAGAGGTATACAGGCGAACACCACGCATGCGCTATCAGCTACACTCAGGGAGGGACATGAGACCCACAGGCACTTTGTGAGAGACGTTCACAGGGACCGGCACAGTCGCCTAGCAGCTAAATCCTCGCCTTGCATACGCCAGGACCCAGATGGGAACCAGTTTGTGTCCCAGCTGCTCCACTTCCCATCCAGCTCCCTGCCTGTGATGTGGGAAAGCAGAAGACAGCTTAAAGCCTTGGGACCCTGCACCCACATGGGAAACCCGGAAGATGCTCCTGGCTCCTGGCTTCGGATCAGCTCAGCTCTGGCCACTGCAGATACTTGGGGAGTGACCAGCAGATGGAGGATCTTTGTCTCTCCTTCTCTCATTAATCTGACTTTCTCACAAAAATAAATAAATCTTAAAAAAAAAAACACTTAATGAGGTTATGATAATGGTCGTGTTTCTCGGCAAGGGAAAAAACCTACCTACCTCTTTAAACTAACTGAAAGTAATTTTGATCATGAAACCACTCGGGCTGGAGTCGTGGCACGGTGGGTAAAGCCAGCACCTGTGACGGCACTGCTATCTGCACAGAAGATCACCTGGCAGAGTGCTAACACTTCCCAGCGACTAGAGAGAAGGCCCTCTACAGAACAACGCACAGAAACTAGCTCACAAGTGCTGAGTGGGAGGGCCAGCAGCCATCTAGCGCACATCAGAAACCCTGAGACCTCTGCCCCGCTCCTCCCGGGCAGTCCAAAGACAGAAGGAAAACTTAGCCACGAATTTCCTAAACAGGACACGCCTCTGTACTCACCAATGGAGTGTCTGAGCTCGTCACACTGGCTCACGTGGGGTAACTTCAGCATCTCCCTCCATCTTTTACTACGGCCAGTTTTCTTGCCATATCCTCCTAGATTGGAGGGAAGGGGCATTTAAAAAAAATGCTTATTTATTGTTATTGGAAAGTCAGATGTACACAGAGAAGGAGAGATAGAAAGATCTTCCACCTGCTGGTTCGCCTCCCCAAGTGGCTGCAACCGCTGGAGCTGAGCTGATCCGGAGTCAGAAGCCAGGAGCCTCTTCCGGGTCTCCCACGTGGGTGCAGGGTCCCAAGGCTTTGGGCCGTCCTCCACTGCCTTCCGGGGCCACAGGCAGGGAGCTGGATGGAAAATGGGTCCACCGGGATTAGAACCAGCGCCCATATGGGATCCTGGCACTTTCAGGTAGAAATGAACCAGCTGAGCTCTCACAGTCGCCCCAAGGCATTTTTCTTGAAGGTGGCCAAGAACATCCAATTGTCACAACACCTTCCCACAGTGACTTGTTCTGTCTGGGAGGCGGCCTGGTGAAGGCACTGCCCTCGGCGCACAGACCTGCTTTCAGTAAATCATGCGAGCCATGCCTCAGCCTACCGATGTGACCTGATGTGGGACTCAGGGGGTCCTAAGCTTGGGGCGCACACAGAACCTCATGTTCATGTCCCCTCAAACACTCACTTACCTGAACTTCAAACAGGTAACAAGAAACCTGCCAATGCCAGAGAGCGAGGCGAGCGGCAGGTCACTGGGGCTGGGGCCGGGGCGCCCGTCCCCCGCGCCCCTGCGTGGACATCCAACACCGAGGGACTGCCGGCTCCCCCTCCCCCACAAGCGACATGGACAGTTTTTTCCGGGGGGAGATGCGCTGCTCGCATCTGACCCCCTCAAGTGCGGAAAGGACCCAGCAAAGGGGCACGGGGCGCGATGCGGCCCGGCTGCCGGCCGCGGACCAGCGGCTGCAGGCACGGGCTTGGCGCCCGGCTCCGAGGCGAAGCCGAAGGGGACCCGCGAGCCCCGGGCCGGGGCACACACCGAGGCGCGCTTTCAGCAGCAGCATGTTGGCCGCGACGTTCTCCACCTCCATGGTCCGCCGCCGCCTGGGCCGGAGGAAGGCGTGCTTGCGGGGCGGCGGCGCCCCGGCGCCCGCGCACTCCTCGCAGGGCTCCCCCGGCTCCGTGGAGGCCTTCCCGGGGCGGCTCCGGCGCCGCCGCCGCCGCCGCCGCGCTGACCGCCGCCTCCGGCGCCGCCACCACCGCCACCAGCGGCGCGGCCGGCGGCCGGAGCGCGGGGCGCGGCGCGAGGCCCGGCGGGCGCGGCGCGCGGAGCCGGCAGCCGGGCCGCCGCCGCCCGGGCCTGTCAGCGCCGCCGCGCTGGGGTGGGCCGCATCGCCCGGGCCGAGCGCCGACAAGGCTCCCCTCAGGGGCCAGCGCGGGAGCAGCGCCGCGCCGCCGCCCCGAAAGCGCTAACGGCCGCGCACCGCAGCCAGCCCCGCGCACTACAACTCCCAGCAGGCCGCGGGCCGGAAGTGTTTTCGTCACGTCCGGGCGCTGCTGCTCCCGCAGGCTCTGGTCGCCGGCGCGACCGTGGCGAGGCGAGGCGCGGCCGGGCGCGTGGAGGGTTTGCTTCTCCGAGGGCTTGGAAGGGAGCCGGCGTGCGCGCCATGGGCAAGGCCAAGCCGGCCGCGGCGCGGGCTGGCCCGGCCCAGGCCAAGGGCAAGGCCAACCCCAACCCGTTCGAGGTGAAAGTCAACCGGCAGAAGTTCCAGGTTCTGGGCCGACGGACGCGCCACGACGTGGGGCTGCCCGGGGTGTCGCGCGCGCGTGCCCTCAAGAAGGTGAGCCCGTGGGGATGGCTGGGAGACTTGGTGCTGCTGGGGGGCACACCCCTGCGATGGTGCCTCTGCCGCCCTGGGCCAGGCTTGGCGTGTCGTCTCTCCTGGGGGAGCCGGAGCATGCCCTGTGAGCACCCTGGGCCAGGCGTGGGGTGTCCCCTAGCCTGGGGGAGCCGGAGCATGCCCTGTCAGCACCCTGGGCCAGGCTTGGCGTGTCCTCTCGCCTGGGGGAGCCGGATCGTGCCCTGTGAGCACCCTGGGCCCGGCGTGGGGTGTCCCCTAGCCTGGGGGAGCCGGATCGTGCCCTGTGAGCACCCTGGGCCAGGCGTGGGGTGCCCCCTAGCCTGGGGGAGCCGGATCATGCCCTGAGAGCTTGCTGTGTCAGGCAGGATCTGAAAGAGCTCTGCCCAGGACTCCAGTCACTCTTGCCTCTCCCAGGCCTGCATTAGCAGGAAGCTGGAGGTCTGGCCAGGGTGGGGGCCCCTCCTGTGTGTTCACAAGCCTGCCCCCATTTTTTGTGAGGTGTGAATGTTCTAGGGCTTAGCTGGTCCTTAGCAGAAGCCAGCTGAATAGAGTCTAATGAGGTCTCACCATTCCACCTTAGTCCTCTTCTGCCCCCCCCCATCACCTTTTTTTTAATCTTCTGTCTGCCAGTTTGCTCTTCAGACAACTGGACTGGTCCGAAACTAGGAGATTTTCCAGGTGTCTCCCACATAGGTACAGGGATCCAAGGCTTTGAGCCATCCTCAGCTGCTTTCCCAGCCATAAGCCGGTAGCTGGATTGAAAGTGGAGCAGCCAGGACTCGAACCAGCACCCTTATTCACTGGCCCATAAAATTCTGTTTCTTTCAAACTGACTGGCAAATTAGAGGAATCCCTGAAGCAAGCAAGAAACATTTGACCCTGAGGCTAGCTCAGGATCTTGGCTCTGTGGGAGCCAGAAAGCACAGCCGTTGGTCACTGCCAGCATCCCACCCACGTGGGTCACTGCCAGCTTCCACCTGTGAAGGCCACTGCCAGCATCCCACCTGTGAAGGCTACTGCCAGCATCCCACCCGCGTGGGTCACTGCCAGCATCCCACCTGTGAAGGCCACTGCCAGCATCCCACCCGCGTGGGTCACTGCCAGCATCCCACCTGTGAAGGCTACTGCCAGCATCCCACCCGCGTGGGTCACTGCCAGCATCCCACCCACGTGGGTCACTGCCAGCTTCCTCCTGTGAAGGCCACTGCCAGCATCCCACCCGCGTGGGTCACTGCCAGCATCCCACCCACGTGGGTCACTGCCAGCATCCCACCTGTGAAGGCTACTGCCAGCATCCCACCCGCGTGGGTCACTGCCAGCATCCCACCCACGTGGGTCACTGCCAGCTTCCTCCTGTGAAGGCCACTGCCAGCATCCCACCCGCGTGGGTCACTGCCAGCATCCCACCCATGTGTTGCTCGCAGCTGGGCTCACGTGTCCGTCTCAGTGGGATCCCCTGAGGATTTGCGAGGGGTAGAAGTCCTGAAGCAGCCTGCTAGGGGCACTGGGGCACCGCCATCCCTCGGCCCCTGTGTCCTCTTCTGCCATCAGCGAAACCAGCTTCAAGGAACGTTGGCTTGTTCATTGTTGCTGCTGAGAAAGGCCCAGTCGCTTGAGACTTGCTCTTTGGGAATGAATTCTGAGATTAAGTGCGCTCCTCTGGTGTCCTTAGGTGTAAAGTCTAAACAGGGATCCCCACCTGGTCACTTGCTTCTGGACTGACACCGGAGAACGACGCCCTCCCCCACGACAGACACTTGCTGGCTTTTGAGTTAATCCCGTCTGAAGGCGAGGGTGTGTGATCGTAGGCCGCAGCCGAAGAGCCGCGTGCCAGCCTGGCCAACGAGCGAGCCTTTGCCGCTCTCAGCACCAGCATGTGCGCGAAGGGGGCGGCAACTGCCCGCCAGCGTGTGGGGAGTGTTGGCTGTGGACGAGCTCGGGCCTCCCGGGGCGTCCTCTGCGGTCCCCTTACTGGGCAGCACAGGGACCTTCTGTGACCCGTTGTGTCTTGTCCTGCAGCGCACCCAGACGTTATTAAAGGAGTACAAGGAGAGGGACAAGTCGAGCGTGTTTCTGGACAAGCGCCTCGGGGAGTACGAGCGCGGCCTGAGTGCGGAGGAGAAGATGCTGCGCAGGTTTGCTCTGGAGCAGCAGGTGTGTGGCGAGAGAAGTGGGAGGCGGCTGCGCTGAGGCCGGTGCCGGACGCCGGTGTCCCTGGGGAGGAGGGCCGTGGTCCCCCGGGGGTGAGTCCAGTTTGTGCAGCAGTTCTGTGTCTTAGCTGAATCCTGGGCAGAACAGCTCGGATCCCCTCAAGGCTGAACTGTCGTGTTCGGAAGGATGAAAGGCAGCGGGTATGGGTTGTGGTGTTGATTTCCTCCTCTTCGATTCAGAAACATCATGAGAAAAAAAGCATCTACAACCTAAACGAAGATGAGGAGTTGACCCATTATGGCCAGTCCTTGGCGGACATTGAAAAGCACAATGACACTGTGGACAGTGACAGTGATACGGAGGAGCGAGGGACATTGTCTGGTAAGGTCAGCAGGTGCCCTCCGCAGCACCTGGGCTGTCCCTGGAGAGGCACAGGACGCCGTGGCTGTGGCCAGGCTGTCCCTGGAGAGGCACAGGACGCCGTGGCCGTGGCCATGTCTGGGCTGTTCCTGGAGAGGCACAGGACGCCGTGGCCGTGGCCGTGTCTGGGCTGTTCCTGGAGAGGCACAGGACGCCGTGGCCATGTCTGGGCTGTTCCTGGAGAGGCACAGGACGCCGTGGCCGTGGCCGTGTCTGGGCTGTTCCTGGAGAGGCACAGGACGCCGTGGCCGTGGCCGTGGCCAGGCTGTCCCTGGAGAGGCGCACAGGATGCCGTGGCCGTGGCCATGTCTGGGCTGTCCCTGGAGTAGGCGCACAGGACACCGTGGCCGTGGCCGTGTCTGGGCTGTCCCTGGAGAGGCGCACAGGACGCCGTGGCCGTGGCCATGTCTGGGCTGTTCCTGGAGAGGCACAGGACGCCGTGGCCGTGGCCGTGTCTGGGCTGTTCCTGGAGTAGGCGCACAGGACACCGTGGCCGTGGCCAGGCTATCCCAGCAGTGTGGAATCCCCAGGGCTGCTTGGGAGCAGTGTGGGCAGGATGTTAACCAGGCAGCCGAGTGCTGGGCAGTCCCGGTGCACTGAGCGCTGCCCTGCGTGCAGCCCGCCTCTCCCTGCCATGCCCTGAGACCACAGTGAGCACAGCCCTGGCCGAGCCACAGGTCTGTCCTCAGGGTGGTCCTCTCTGCTTGTCCCCAGCGGAGCTGACGGCTGCCCACTTTGGAGGCGGAGCCGGGCAGCGTCACGGGAAGGAGGGCGAGGACGGTGAGCAGCCGGCCAAGTCGCGCAAGGAGCTGATTGAGGAGCTCATCGCCCGGTCCAAGCAAGAGAAGGTCAGTCAGCCGGTGTCCCCACTCGGGGCGCCCGCACTGAGGCCCGGCCCTCCCCCTGCTCAGTCTTGTGTAATATTTGGTAGGAATCCGAGGAGCATATTCACCATGAACGGGAATATATATTTGGTGGTACTGTGGGCCCGGCGCCCCCTCCCTGGTCTGGGTGAGCCATGGAAAGCAGGAAATTGCTTCTGAGGAGATTCTGTGACTGTTGAAAAGGCACACAGAGATCTTAACTGCTGGTTCACTCCCCGGTGCCAGCACAGCCAGGGCTGGGCCAGCTTGCAGGGGGGCGCTGAGAAGGGGCGAAGGGCCCGGGCCCTGGGCTGCAGGCTCACACCAGCTCCGTGAACAGGAGGCACAGAGAGCTTTTGTGTTTCATTGTGATTTGAAAGGCAGGGTTACAGCATGGGAGAGATCTCTCACTCGCTTGTCCACTCCCCAGGTGCTGTTGGGCCAGCCACGTCCCTGTGTGGGTGAGCGGCCCAGACACTGGGCCGTCATCTGTGGCTTTCCTGACGCGTTAGCAGGGTGCAGGATTGGGAACGGAGCAGTTGGGACTTGATGCTGGCGTTGCAGTCCTAAGCAGCCTGGCCACATGTGCTGCCAGTGGCAGCCGTGACTGCATGTCAGGCTGTGATGCCTGCCGGAGGGCTTGCTGGCATGGCCACATGCAGCAGCTAAGAGGGGCTGATGTCGGGTCCCCAGAGGGAGCGCCAAGCGCAGCGAGAAGATGCCCTGGAGCTCACGGAGAAGCTGGACCAGGACTGGAAGGAGATCCGGGCGCTGCTGGCCCGCAAGGCGCCCCGGCCGGAGGCCAGAGAGACGGAGAAGCCCAAGGTGGGTGTGCA